AACCTCAATCCATTTTTGTCTTTTCTCTCATTCGATTCTGCATTTTCCTTTGACCATTTCTAAAATCCATATAATGTTACTCATTACATAAACAGTAACATCCATTTTCATCACTCAACATCATAAATCCATCTTTAATTATCTTATAACCATAACCAATCTCTTATTCCATTATTCTTTAACTCAGAACACAACATTAAATCTCTTCAAATGTTATTAAACGTATACTTTACGGAATCAAACAATCTTTTCACATTACCCTGCACATTTTTCGTACTTCTATATCGAACTTATCATCTACATTTCCATATCACCTTTATTATATCTGATCCTTTAATTCAATCCTTTTCATTCTTTATCCATTATTTCTTTATTCATTCCAAAATCGAAATCTCCTTATACACAAATCGTATCTTTCCTTTCATATTCACATATTCTTTTTCCTATAACTTATACTCATCTCTGATTACCGATCTTTATCACATATTCCTCAGCAATATCTTACTCCACTTTTCAAACTCATACTCTTACTGATACATAGTACTACTCCCTTGTTCCAAACTTAAACGTTATAACTTCCTTTATCTTATAAACTGATCGCCGATATACTCATTCTTAAATTTTTCTACTACTCTGTAATTTCCCTTAAACATACGAATCCTTACCTCTTTCACTATATCACATTTACATAATCGAGATACACAACTATATTCATATCCATTTCATATATGGTTAACTTGTCCTAACCATATCTTAAAATCTTATAACTCCCATACATTTTTTATCACATAATCTTGTTAGCCAACGCTAACTCTTTCCATCTTAACTGTAAATCTTTATCATATCTACACTTTTGCTTATACACAATATTATCCCTTCGTTTCAAACTCATAAGCTCTGACTTTATACATCTTATACGCTTGTCACTGATACATTTATTTTTGAACTCTTCTACCAATTCTCACTACATTATTTGATCTTTTAACGCTCTATGGTGATACTTGTTCACCATATTCTATCTTATCCACTAAATAACAAAACGACTCCATATCACCTTTCCGATTCAAAACAGTGAAAACTTTCTATCATTATTCAGATATGATTTCAACTTTCTGAAATCAACCTTTAATCTTATAAGACACTTTCTGAGGTTTCCGCTCTTCATCCTACATGGCCAGGGCAGGTGAATTGCTATCACCATCAGATTTGTCAGCTATCGATTCACTTCAACAATTTTTATAATCCATTTCTACTATATCATACAAATCTTATTCTATTAGCAAGACAACATACTCCTTACACTATCAGATCAGAAATTTTCACACTATGTTAGCATGTACACATTTTAAAACTCTTTTACCTTCGGTTTAAGCCTAGAATCGGCTAAACCTTAGCTCTAATACTATTAAATGTAACACCCCAACCAATATCCGACCCTGATCCGAGTCCGAGGTGACACATTGACTTTTCAAAACATTTATTTGTATAAAATAATGAGTATTTTAAAACTTTTATAACATATAACTTATTCAAAACGTTTACAGAACTATTCAGAGCTTATACAATATATTCTTTTGAATACATGCCAACTAGAACTTTATATATTAAAATACATATTATTCACCTCTCTTCTGATCTGACTTTTAGTAAGGAGAACTTACTTGTCTTGCTCCACATCGCTCTTTACTCTTCTTGAAACCTACGTGTAAATCACTTACACGCTAAGTCTATGACTTAGTGAGGCATAAAAATTCATCTAATATAATTCACATACACTAACCATGCATGAATAATTTATGCTATCATAACCATGCAACTCATATACTTTTCATCCAGTAATTACATACATACATACATGCCATCATTTATGTTTCTATCATATTCCTACCCTATTATCATTCATATTTCTTATCTCTTATTCGTATAATCTCTTATGCTTTTATCATATATCTTATAATTCATACTTATCACAGATGCATTCACTCATAACACAAATTATATTCAGGATTATCTCTTTATTAGCCCATGTGTACATGTGAGAACTATAGATATGTGAGTCTATTGAGGTTGTGTACTACGTTGTCACCACAACTCGTATAAATGTCCCGAAAGACCTATCCAGAGGTCATAAATAACCTCAACAACTGTCCATTGGTCCCGAAGAACCTAGGTAAACTGTCCATATGCTCCTTAGAACATAGATATATTGTCCATATGTCTCAAAGGACATAGGTAATTATGTTCATATGTTCTGTAGAATATAGGTAAACCTTCGACTCTTGGCATGCCAACTATATCACTAGCTCTCATATTACATAACATGGGCACTATCATTTATAACATTTCACATATTCATATAAACACGTAGTTTACTGTCACATATCACGTAGCTTATGTCGCATAACTTGTATCACATATACACATTCATATCACATGTTCATATAAGCTCATAACTTCTTTCACAATTACATATAATCATGTAGCTTCTTTTCACGTAGTTCATGTCACTTTTCATATCCTTCACATCTACCTCTTCTCATATATCTCATACCTAATCTCTATCATATATACATTCCTTCACTTATCTTATAGTTATTTATCATATTACATAATTTAACTTATATCATATTATCATGTGTACATATATCATGGACACTTAACATGTATCATATAAACATGTATTCACACATATCATTAACACATGCAACAATCAATAACACACATGTAACATATCAAACATATGCTCATATTAATGAATTCATGCATTTTACTATAGGAAATAGACTTGTCCCAAGTCTTATTTCCATTAAATATAATACACTATCTAATATGCACTCACCTTGGCCTCACTAAGTTCCAATCCCATTTTATGATTCCTTTCTTTCGATCGAATCTGAACCTGATAGTCGTCCCGAAACTTGTTCGTACTCGATATCTACATAATCATATATTAATACATATCAGTATCCAGTTGATGTATTCTAATCTATCATTTCTTAGACCAAAAGAAAGATTTATTTCATTTCCCATTGAAGTGCATCGATACATTCTACAATGTATCGATGCATTCTTTAACATGTGCATCGATGCACTATCCATGCATATGTGCACAATTCACCTTCGATGTTCAAATCTTAAGGGGGTGCATCGATGCACTCCTTATGCATCGATACACTAGTGGCATTCGATGTTCATTTATTTGAGAGTGCATCGATACACATTGAAGATGCATCGATGCACACAACTTAAAAATTACATTTTGAGCTCGAAAATTCTTACTTTGTCCTCAAATTCTACTTATTAATCCCTCCTTATACCTTACAACTTATCTATACATATGTAAACCTTCTTATAACATTATAACACTGCACTATCCCTCATAATTCACCATAATTCTTGAATCAAATAATTTCATCAAATTTTCCATGTGTTCTTAATTCAATTCTATCACCTCTAACTTCTTAATTAGCCCTTTGACAAGTCAAATTTAACCTCAAATTCTACTAACTTCTTTTATTTCAAGAATTCACTTAAAAACTCCTTTTACTTAATCTCTCCTAACTTTGTCATCTTTTGATTTTAAGATAACTTAAGCTTTCCTTAAGCTTAGTTATCGTCTAATGATCACAAACTAACCTTGAATTCATCAAGAAATTAACAAACCATGAACTCACCTTTGCTCTTGGCTTCCACGTGAAGGAGAAGAAGAAAGGAAAAGAAGAGAACTCTGGAGAAATCTCTCCTTTTCCACGTGGTTCCCTTATCTTATAAAGGAAAAATAAAAATCTTACTTGTCAAATGACCATTTTACCCCTTATTCCATCAGTTATTTACTAAACAATAAAATAAATCTTTCAAAATCAGACTTCAAATTTTCAAAACTTTCATTTTAGTCGCTCTTGTTTTGGGATGTTACATTACATAACGCAGTTGATTTAGAAAAACTAGTGTACTTTAGATGAACATTTCTATGCATGAAAGTAGACTTTCATGAGACTGCGCGATAATTCTATCTCCTCTTTTCACATGGAGTGCTAACTTGAGATATGATAGAAAGACAGTTTGACTTCTTCATGTTGAAGAAACTGTGATTGATTGTGGTGAAACATTTGAGTTTTGATCCTAACATACATACATAAGAAACTGCTTTTAGGTATGGAAGATGATCTTAACTAGCAATTTCATTAGTGAAGAACGAACAGTTGATAAAATGTATGCCAGTTTCATTCCTTATACTGCTTAGTAGGGGTTTTGCAGATTTTGTTGAACTCCGTAATCGCGTATGGGGCATTGAACTGGATACATTTCTATGAGGATTAGGTTTATATTTCTAGGACCTCAAGTGTCTGATTATCGGGTCGGGTCTGAATTTTCTTTCTGCCTTTGTGCTACTGTCTCATTAAACTCGACTTTGATTTTAGTATCCTTTAGTGAGGAGGAAAGCATTCTCATCGGGAAAAGCATTCGAGCTCCTCTATAGTCAGAAAATTCTAAAAATGGGTGATGTTGGAGTCAGAATCTGATGCATGAGGTTGAATGTTTCTCTTCCTCAAAAAAATCAGTCTCTCTCTATAAGCTCTAAGGGAAACAGGTGGGTTTTCTAGTCCCTTGTTGCTGTTGTCCTTCAGGACCCTTGAACCATGGCTTTAAATATATGAAGGTCAACCATTGACTGGACTGCATATCCTTAGCCATAGAACAATTTTAGATATGATTGATGAAGTTTTGATCCTTTGGGTGAGAAAAACTAAGCTGAAGAAATAGTAATTCTGTATTGCAGGATCAGTTCTTTATTCCTTACGGGGTTGTAGTTTGCTGCAAAAAATGATGAAACTTCAAATTTTTGTTATCCTTTCCTTTGAATGGATAACAAAATTGTTTCTTTCATTGGATTGCAATTTTTAGTTGGTTACAGTTTATATTGTAATATAAATTTTATTAATTGTTTTATGTTTTGGATTATTTTTAGAAGAATTACAGTAAAATTTACTTGTAATGAAATGAGTGATGTCGATGAGAAGGTATTGGTAATTTAGTTATTTAATGGTTAATATGTTCACAGAGTTGATGGAGTAAAGTTTACTGTCAATTACCTATATCCAAGCTTAATTACAATGTTCTTCTAAAGCTTTATATCAAAAGAAAATATGTGGAAATTCTTCTCATCACATTTTTTTCAATGCCTGTGTATCATTGGCTTTATTCTCAATCCTTATGGCAGTTTGATCTAACGAGCTCTTCCGCTCAGCTAGGAATCAAGGGATACAAATAAGTTATGCTCCATCAACCATTGTGATTCTAACTCTCTCTTGAATGAGGTAATGAATTTCTAGTAGTTTTCATTGTAAGATATAATGCTAACATCAATACAATCTGGGACATATGTTCTTTTCTATGCATGTAGCATTATGCTGTATGTTGCTTTGCTTGAAACTTGCTTAATTACAGAGTGTGAAAGTTGAAAGAGGCTTTCTTGGAGTTGGTTGAAGCATTATTTTTATCTGTCTGTCTTTGGCTCCCTATCTAAAACATTACAATTTATCATTTTGTCTTTGGTTGAAGCATCATTAGTTCCTGAATCAAGCTTCATTGCAAAGCCAGCTGCTTCATGGCTTGATGATTTTCTTGTATGGTTATCGCCAGAGGCATTTGGTTGTTGTCGGAAGTTTACAAATGGCTCTTACTGTCCTCCAGATGATCAAGTTAGTACTTCATATGTTACTAGTTCTGATATCAAATGGATTTTAGCCAAATGGATTTTGTATTGATATCAAGGTTTTAAACACAAGCTTAACCTTTCATTTGATTCCCTCTTATGATGAGTTCTGAATGTGTATGGAATGCAATATTCTGTTTAATTGTTCAACAATAATATCATGCTTATATAGTGTGATGGTTGATATATTTTCTCCGGCTTTTTGAGCTTTTTATATGATTATCACTGGATTGCTAAACTAGATATTACTCTTTCCAGCCACCTTGCTGTTCACCCGATGGAGGTTCTTGTGGTTTAGGTGGAGTCTGCAAAGACTGTACAACGGTTTTGTCCCTGATCTCTCTCTTCCTCGTGTCTTTATGGGGTTAGGTGTAGCATATAAATTAGAAATGTTTTTTAGAAAGTGCCCATTACATATGCATTTGAGTGGTTATTAAGGTTCGAGGTTTATTCCAAGTACCAAACTAAAAATATTGCGAGCACTAAAATCTTTTTTCGTTGGCTCCAGTGCTTCCGCCATGCGGATTTGGTTAATGATTGCCCATCTACAGAGCAATTTAGAGAGAAGCTTCCTTGGTTCCTCAATGCTCTGCCATCCGCTGATTGTGCCAAAGGTGGTCATGGGGCTTATACTAGCAGTGTGGATTTGAATGGTATGTAGATTGGGAATTTTCCTATGTATATTAAACTTCAGTTTCTGGTGTTCTTACAGGATAATAAAAGGCATTTCTTACTTTCCTGTATACACCTTTACAGGTTATGAAAATGGTGTTATAAAAGCATCAGAGTTTCGTACTTATCACACACCAGTTAACAGACAAGTAAGCCAATGTCTATAGTTGACTAATTGATCTCAATATGACTTTTGATGTACTTGTATGGCTTTAGTTAATCACACCACTTCACTTGATCTCATCATTTTCCTCAGGGTGATTATGTTAATGCTTTGCGAGCTGCAAGGGAGTTCAGCTCAAGAGTTTCTGATTCTCTGAAGGTTTCAATTAGCTGGGCTCTCTATTAATCTTTAGCTTTGGCTTCCTTGATCTTAGATAAGCTTTAAAGTTCTCGTGTTAGGAGATTGCATTAAGTTTGCTTTTTTATTTCAGGGGATAATCATGGAAATGCTGATGGCAGAAACACTTTCCTTTTACAGTGTCAGCCCATTTTATGTTCTTTGTTATGAAACCATGAATAGTGACCGGTCTCTCTTTTTGTTATGATAGAGGAAAACTGGACAGAACCTCCCTTTTCTTCATTGTCAGATTCAGGTTAGCGATGTGATTTCTAGCCAAGTATCCTCACGTCCCTATTCAGGTGGATTTGTTGATTGGAGATCCTTCCCTAGCAGACAAACATTCTGTTTTAAAGGTTCTGTCTAGGCCTTTGCTTTGCTGGAGTCCCCCTCCAGTCGATTTCTTTAAGATGAATGTGGATGGGGCTGTTAGTCGTGACGGGATGGTAGGAGGTATAGGTGGTATTCTTAGAGATTGGAATCGCTCTCCTCTCCTGTCTTTTTCAGAAAATGTTGGTCCTAGCCCTCCCCCTCTAGCAGAATTGAAAGCTATCAAAAAAGGCAGCGAGATCTTTCTCTCTTCAGAATGGGTTTCGGAGGGTAGGCTGATTGTTGAAAGCGATTTCAAGTCAGCAGTGGACTGGATTAAATCTCCTTCTTCGGCACCTATTTTCTTTTCATATCTAGTAAGGGACATTGTGTCTATTGTATCAGATAAGGAGTTTATTCTTAGGTTGATCCTAGGGGTTGTAATTGTGAGGCTGATAAGTTAACAAAGGAGGGGATTGGGTGATTGTAAGCTTTTTTACTTAGCGTTTCTGTGTGTTTTTAGAGAACAGTTTTTTTTGGTGTTTGTTTAAGTCTTATGTAACCTGTTTATCAATAATATACTGAGGTACTCTTTTCCTCCTTCTGCTTGTCGGTTCTTTCCTTAGGGAATAGGACTACTATGAGGGAGGTTTTTAATGATGCCTCCTACTTCTATAAAAAAAAGCAATATTCTTCATGTTAATACCAAACTTGAGTGTATATTTTTTCTTCAGATTTGATATGGTATTGAAATACAATAACCTGGTTAATGGGCTTTAAGGGGAATGTGTATAAGGAAACAAGACTTTCTAGAAAAAAGAACCACTAATTTATTGATATGATCACAGTTCTTGTTTTCTGAAACATTATTTTTCCTAATTCCAGTTTACTTCTTTGCCGACATTACTCTGGTGCAGATGCAAATCTTTCCATATTCGGTCTTCTATATTTTCTTTGAGCAATATCTTGATATTTGGAGGATTGCTTTGACGAATATTGCTATTGCACTAGGTGGGTTTTCCAGCATGCCATATTGATTAATTTGCATCCTTCAAGCAATTTGTATTTCGAACAACTGGTTTTCTGCTCTATCTAGTGGCATCTATATTTTGTGCTCTCGTGTAAAAATCATTTCACCTATTCAGAGACGGTTTATAGGAGTATTGGCATTTTGGAAAATGTTTTAACTTATGGAGTTTCTATCATCTTTCACATCATTATTCTCTAAAGAGATTTGATCTTTCCCCTCATTTTATGAGATGCTTTGTTCTTTAGCTTTGGCTGCTATGATTACCTTTTCTTCGTTCCTTTATTTTTTTACCATGTTTCCTGAAGTAGCTGTATGTATTGGCACGGATACCTTATTGAATGAATCTCTATGTAAAAGTTCATTGAGTGAGTTTTCTTAAATTACAGGTGCTATCTTTATTGTCTGTCTGATTATCACATCCAGGTTCAAATTCTTTCTCTGTCCTTTTTGCAGACTTTTTATCTGCGCGATTAATCTCTTTTTACCCATTTGTTTTGGAATACTGTCAACTTTAGTATGTTTCTCTTTGGTTTGGTAAATGCAGTTTGTGGATTTCCGCCATCATTGTGCTGGTGTTGGTGATGATTGTTGTAGATCTCATGGTATATCTTCTGCCTTGACATTTACAATAGTGTGTATGATTTTCAGCCTTTTTATTTCTCCACCTTTTTTTATTAAAAGTATAATAAAGCTTCTTTAACTTTTTTCGGTGTCCTTTTTCTTAATTATATTTTCGCCTAAAAGAAAGAAAGTTGTCCTCTCTCTAATTTTGCAGGTGTAATGACAATTCTGGGTATTCAGCTCAACGATGTTTCAGTCGTGAACCTTATCATGTCAATAGGGATTGCCGTTGAATTCTGTGTCCATATAGCAAATGCTTTCTTGCTCAGTATTCAATCTTTACTCAGTTTAGTTTAGTCTGAGATGAGTAGGTAATGGAACTGGGTTACTTGTATCATACATGGCTGTGGGAAGTAAAGTTGAAGAAAACAAGAACCTTTCTCTTGTTTGGATAAATTATTAAAAGAAGGGAAAAGTAAAGGGAGTTGAGTGTCCCTTTCTTTCCCTCAAGACAAGTTTTATTTACTCCAGTTTGGGGGAAGGCTGGGAAATAAAATTGATTTTTTTAAGATGTGAGATACCTTTTCTATCCCCCTGATTTTTTACGTAAGTTGTTTATAGAAAGGGTATAATTGAAGAAAAGTCATTTATAATTGTTTATCCAAGCACAATGTAATGTTTCTGTAGATTTATTTGTGGTACAAAGAAGAAAGAAACTTGTATTTGCCTAATTGTGACAATAACCTCCAATTCAGCTCTAGTTCTCCAGGAAAATGCTGCTGCAATAAGGCAAATATTATATTAACCAAGGAATTGCACATTGACTCGTTATCTCTTAAAATTATTGATTTCATAATTCTATATTTCCCTTAAACAGGTATGTAATGGGAATAGGGATCAAAGAATGAAGGAGGCTCTTAGTACCATTGGAGCATCTGTATTCAGGTTTACTGTTCTTCCATTGTCCCAATTTTGGTGTGGTGTCAATGATAGCTGTCGGAAGACTATATATACATTGTATACAATCTATTTTTATCAATTTAACTGTTCTTTTTGGAACTGTTTTATTGAAATTTATCTCTTATGATCATCTGAGGAACAATCTCGATCTATATTTGGGGAAAGGGTGGGGAACTGGAGATTGAAGAACGGAAGGGGGGATTATCTTACTTTATTAAAAAAACAAAATTCCCCCACCCGTACACCGAGAAAATGATATAGAGAAGAAGGGATTATCTCTTCTTTTGCATACTAAAATTCTCGGTAAAAATCACCATTTTCACTTCTTTTGGCAGTGGAATCACCCTCACGAAGCTTGTAGGAGTAGTTGTGCTTTTCTTCTCAAGATCATAACTTTTTGTGGGCTCTAACCATTCCCTTCTATCATTCAATTCTCTCTTTTTCCTGACTGAAAGAATACACGTACGGCAACTTTATTTTATTTTATTTTTTTTCCTGCAGGCATACTACTTTCAGATGTACTTAGCATTGGTTCTTATCGGTTTCTTGCATGGGCTTGTGTTTTTACCTGTAAGTTTTAATGGAACCCTTGTAACTCTTTTTTTTTTATAGGAATGGCAGGCCTCGTTAAAACCCCCTTCATGATTAATGGAACATAAAGTGCTCCTTAATCAGCGGAAGGAGAGAAAGAGTGCCTTAAAATTCATTAAAACGCATAAATTACATAATACTTAGGGAACAATCATATAGACTCCCTATACACACCAACCCATAGCTTAAAAATAACAGACCCAAACATAACCAAAAGACTTTAAAGCTAGCCAATACCAGCCTTAGCTAAGGCATCAGCCTCAACATTAGCTGACCTAGCAACCCATCTAATAATGCCTCCCAAACCTCTTAATTTAGTAACAATTTCGTTCACAATGTCTACATATACATTGGGACATCTATCATAGTTCTTGATCCAGTCCACCGCAATTTTACTATCAGTTTCAACAATCAAGCGATCCTCAAACTGTTGCTGGATTGAAGCAAAGAAAAACAAACCCTTCTTGATTGCCATTAGTTCTATCAAAATGGGAGGACCCGGACCAGAAGCCTCTTGAAAAGAACCCACAACCGAGCCATTCTCCACTCTTAGAATTCCCCCAACTCCACTTTCCTCCAATCTGCAGTAACAGCTGCATCCACATTCAACTTTATGTAGCCCTTTGGAGGCCGAGTCCAGGCCTTAGTTTTAATGACTGAAGATCTTGAATTAGCGCAACAATCCCCAAGCGCAGGATCACAAATAAGACAGTCTATTAGAATAGACGTCTCCTTATAGACAGCTAAGAACCATGCAGCCAGCCGATATCTTGCCATAAAGAAAAGATCAGTCTGATCTAAACTCCCCTTATCAAACATAATCGCATTCCTACATTTCCAGATTGTCCAAAACACCACTCCCGGAATGAATCACCAAATTATAGAACTAGGCACCAAATCTCCCCAAGCTAACAAAAAACTTTTAGCATCAGCTTGTAACACTGAACAAACTCCCCAAAATCTCAAAAAATTATTCCAAATAGACCACGCGACCGAGCAAGTAAAAAATAAATGAGAAGAGGATTCATCCACCTTCTTACATAATGGACAAACAACATCAACAATTGCTGAAACTCCTCTCTTCTGTAATTCAAGTTTAACTGGCAACCTTTGATACACGACCTGCCACATGAAGATCTCCACTCTAGGAGGCACTAAACCCCTCCAAATATGCTTCATCCAAAAAGAATCTGCTGTCAAAACAGGACAGCAAGACTTCAAACACGAATTAACAGAAAAATTCCTTCCCCATTCCCTCTCCAAACCATACCATCTGACATCTCATTATTTAGAGTGAAATTATGGATAACATCCATTAACTCAGCAAACTGATCCAATTCCCAATCACTTAAATTCCTTCTCAATTGAATATGCCAAACCCAAACTGAAGACCGAAACTCCCCAAACTCATTAAGCTTCCCATTTTTGTTTATCGACAGAGCAAACAATCTTTGGAAAACCACTTTAAGAGGGACATCAAGCGCCCAACTATCAAACCAAAATCTGATACTCCCACCATTCCCCATCCTAACATTAAACAAACTTCGAAACTTAGTTCCAAATTGATCCTCATTGAAATGGTTCTTAACCATCGATTTCCAGATCCAAGAAGCATTAGTAGGTAGTTTTTCATTGAACGACAAAAACTAGAGTCCAAATTATATTTACTGCAGATTACCTTTTTCCACACTGAATCGCAGTCATTAGCAAACCTCCAACTCCATTTCCCAAGTAGAGCTCTATTCATAAAATTAAGATCCACAACACCAAGACCACCCACCCGTTTATCAGAGCAAATTGTCGACCAATTAACCCAATGAATTTTTTTGGCCTCAACCCCTCCTCCCCATAAGAATCTAGCCATGATAGCATTGAGTTTATCATATACCGAAACAGGAATCTTGAACAAGGACATATAGTAGGTTGGTAAAGCACACAAAACTGCCTTTAATAAAACCAATCTGCCTGCCATAGACATTATCTTAGCCTTCCAGCCTGTTAATCTGTTGTAAAACTTCTGCACTACCGGATCCCACATCTGCTGGGAATTTCTCTTAGCACCAAGAGAAAGCCCCAAATATTCGGACGGGAAATGACCTACCAAACAACCTATGGCATTAGCCCACTGACCAACCACTTCCTCAGAAATATTAATCCCAAATAATTTACTCTTAGTGAGATTCAGTTTAAGGCCTGACATAACTTCAAAAACTCGAAGAACCCTCTTAACATTAAGAATCTGAGTCTTCGATGCATTGCAGAAGATGATGAGATCATCTGCAGATTACAGATGAGACAAATTAACAACATTCTCGTCTTTGCCAACTGTCAGGCCACAAAACAGGCCTGACTGGACTGCTTGGATAATCAAAAGATTAAGCAATTCACCAACAAGATTAAACAGCAAAGGGGAGAGGGAACAACCCTGTCTAAGACCTCTAGACAACGAAAATTCATCCGTAGGAACACCATTGACCAGCACTGACATCGAAGCTGTAGTGACACAAGTCCGAATCCAGCTACACCATTTTGATCCGAAACCCATTTTATCCAAAACTTTAAAGAGAATGTCCCAATCTACCGTATCATAAGCCTTCTTAAAATCCACCTTAAAGACACAAGCCTTCAAACCTTTCTTCCTCCATAAGTCGATACCTTCATTAGCAATAAAAGAACAATCCAAAATTTGTCGACCCGGAATAAAAGCAAATTGTGAGTCACTGATAATATCCTTGATGCAACCTCTCAACCTTCTCGACAGACACTTGGACAGAATCTTGTACATCCCTCCTACGAGAGAAATAGGTCTTAAATCATCCAAACCCCCAATATTAGAACCCTTCGGGATTAAGGTAATGAAAGAATGATTAATGCCATTCTCCCACTCCTTTCCCAAAAAGAAATTATGGAAAAACTTCAGAATATCCCTCTTCAAGTGAGGCCAGAATTTTTTGAAGAAACCCATATTCAACCCATCTGGCCCAGGAGCTTTGTTACTATCACACGAGTTTATGGTATCCCAAATCTCTTCTTCCGTAAACTCCTTCTCTAACAACAAACGCTGCTCGAGAGAAATTCTTGAGAAGTTCAAATTAATATCCTCCACTTCCAAGGTAGAACGATGATTAAAAGCTTTAAAAAAATGTTCTCTGACAGTAGACTTTATAATAACCGGATCTTTGATAATTTTACCATCAACATGAATTGCATTCATAGAATTCATCCTCCTCCTAATGGAAGCACTTGTGTGAAAAAACTTAGAATTCCAGTCTCCATCTTTCACCCACTTTTCTCTTGAATTTTGAAACCAAATTTGCTCCTCAACTCTGTAAAGTCTCCACATTTCATTTCTCCATTTCCTCAACTCTGCCGCATTGACATCTACATTGGCACTCTGATTTTGCTGCAAACTTAATTCAAACTGATGAATTTTATCTTCCAGAGCAGCAATATCCAGCCGTGGAAACTGTTTCCTTACCCCAGACCAGCTCTTAATGGCTGCCTTTGTATTCCTTAGAATGCTCAAAATTCCAGCTTTTTTCTTCTCCTCCTTGAACTCCTTAATGGACTCAACCACCTTCTCTTCAAAACCATCCTCAGACATTAAATAATTGAACAATCTAAAAGGCCTCTTCCCCCAATTATCTTCCCCACTCTCAAGAACAATAGCATTATGATCCGAGATAGACTTTGGTAGTAAAAATTGGTTGATACAGTAAAATTCTTCTGAGAACCTGACATTAACCAGGAACCTATCTAGTTTAACAACAGTTGGAACATCCCGATTGCTGCTCCATGTAAATTTCCCCCCTATTAAAGGCAAATCAATAAGACCCGTTTGCTGAATAAAAAGCCTAAAGATTTCCATCGAGTTCCTATTTTGAGCCATACCATCCTTCTCATCCTCTGTTAAGTAGGTATTGAAATCTCCTCCCACGCACAAAGGGACATTGTAACCATTAATGAACAGTCCCAGTTCTTCAAAAAACCATGCCTTCTCTTCTTCCACAGAAGGACCATAGACGTTTATAAACCCACATTTAAGTTGGCTGGACTTAAATTCCCCGAACACTGCTAAAAACCTCTTATGAATATGATGCTCTTCTAACACAAAAACAGACTCATCCCAACAACTAAAAATACCTCCTGAAGAGCCTTCTGCTGGAGACACAACAAAACCTTGCAACTTATTCAATCCACTCCTTCTCAAGAAAGTGAAAGGTAAATTCTCAAGTTTTGTTTCTTGAAGAAAAAGAAAAGATGGTTTTTTCTCTGAGATTAATTTCTGAACAGCTCTCTGCTTTTCTTTTTTTACCCAACCCCCTAACGTTCCAAGACAAAATAATAAGCCTTTGCATTCTAAACTTATATGACAAAACCAGAAAAAAACCTATGAATTGCCCCCGACCTCAGCTGACCGCACTCGAGCCTTTTTCCAAGTCCATAATCTTTTGTAAAAAAGCATCCTTCCCTTCCTTGAAAGAAACTCCCAGAATCTTACTGATTTCCCATGTAGCAACAGCTTCTTCCAACAGCACAGGAAAAGCTGATGAGGATAATGTGGACACACTGGCATGTTCCACAGCTTCCCTAAAGAGTGATCTTCTAAATCTCCTATTAAGACTCGTCATCCTTGGACCACCATTGTCTCTTTCTGAAGACCCAGCAGCTACTGGAATTTCAGAATTCCCTTGCAGCCCTACTTAACTCCTTACTGGACTCCCTTCGAGAACCCTTCTTACCAGCCTGCATGTCTTTAATCCACAACTTTCTTCTCTTAGACCTGCAGTAAAACCTCTTGAAACTCTAACTAACTTCCTGCGAACCGGGCCGGACTTCACAGAACTTGCAGACCGAGGCTGTGAACCACCTGATGAGCTTACCACCTTAACCACTTTAACAGACCCCATACCATCTTCAATCCCAGTTGGATCGTTAATCTTATCTGCAGCAGAACAGAATTTTTGGCCAATAACTGGGTCCAGACCACTCAACACTGGACTTGATGTACCTATCCGAAGCCCATTCTCCCAGTCAACTTTATCATGCTTAAGAGACTCACCCCCCATACACATTCCACCTTCTATTCCTCCAATAAAGGCTTCCGACTTCCCATGCTGGGTGGAGACAACCTCTGCATCTTCCACTCCTCTACACTTGTCCACCGAATAATTAAATATTGAATTTGAACACCCATTGAAACCTTTTCCATTTTCCAAGACATTGTCATGGTGGGATCCTTGGGCCCATTCCAACAGCCTAGAATGAGCTCTTGACTTGTCCTGACAACCCACGTGCCAACCATTCTGCACCTGAACATCCTCTTGACTGCACTTAGCGGAATTCCCCGCCCCAGGAACCTCTGGAACATCCTCTTCCACCAATCCTGACAACTCAGGAAAAAAATCATCACCACATTCCACCTTAATTTTGATCAGGAATTTCCTCCCGTAAGTATTCACGCTCATATGCTCAGGGATGTCAAAAGGACTGACGACCCTAATCAGCAGATGCGCCACCCTGCAGTCCACTCTTTGGGCAGTTTCGTCTTTGATCTTCACTAACTCCCCCCACCTAGATGCCAAACTAGTAAAGAAAGGAACGGACCAGCAATTTAATGGCACTCCAATAATGGACACCATACAAAAAGGTTGGGGGATGCCACCCTCATCCAAAACAGGTTCCAAATACTCAAACCAGAAAGATAGAGCTTCCCAGTTTCCTTCTGTCACCCTTCTTTTTTCCTCCGCCGACTGGAAAACAACCAAGCAAGCATTTTTGCAAAGCCCCATCTAACGACCTTAACATCGAAACCCTCATTTCTTAACGCTTTCTGCACAAAATCTACTTCAAATATTGCTTTGCAAATCCCGGTAAGAGACGATCTCAACCAGACCCTATCATCCACCGGAATAAAAACATCCATAGGTTTTCTCCTCTCCTCCATAGGACAAAATTGTCCTTCTTGACAACCTCTGGAACCTTGTTCACCCCAACAACCGTATCCTTAAAAGTCCTACCATCATAAAACCTACCCATCAACTCCATCTTCCTAGCCCTTTCAGTATTAGACAAAACTCTTCCCACATTTTCCCTCATTGATGCCCCACTAGATGAACCATCTACCCTCTCATCTACCTGCCTCCTCAACGGAGAGGCTTTCTGATACTTAGCTACAGACACTGAGATTCTCCTTCCATCAAACAGGACATTGTTCATATTTTCCACTGCATTACACAGATCCTCCTTACAAGCGAAGTGGACAAAAGCAAACGTACTAACCTTATACTTCGGTCTGTTATTAAAAAGAGGAATGAACACCTTAATAACTTTCCCATAAACACTAAAACGGTTCCATAACTCACTACGACGCACTTGCTTACTAAGATTGTCAACAAAAGCTGACCATAAAACTCCTCCATGGACCTCTCTAAACTTGTTAACAGAAAACTTGCTTTTCGAAAACTCATTCTCTCTCTCTCTCTAACTTTCTGCATAAAAGTTATATTGATTTTTTTAATTGGATGCTTTTCTTTAAACTTGCAACTGACTTTGGATCATGTTGTTTGGAGCTGTTTGGGATCATGTTGTTGTTTGGAGCTGCTGCTGTTTGGAGCTGTTTTTGGATCATGTTGCTGTTTTGAACGTGCTGGCACTGTTGTTGTTTTAGAATATGTTGGATTCTATTGTATTTTCTTTCTCCTTGTAACTCTTTTGACTCCATTATCTTTGCTGGCTGTGTGTCAATCCACTAGTTTCTAACAGGTTTTTAAGCCTAGGCTGTGTTTGGTTTTGACAGTTGCGAGTTGTTTCCTTCTATTTATTTGTTTCCTCCCAGCCAAAAGTATAAAATCAAATAGCACCTCTCTAAAATGTGACCACCGAAGATACTTGTACCAAAAGTAAACGGTAGAATTCTGAAATAGAATACTCGTCGAAGTCCTATAGCCTATAATATACGTGAAGTAACATCTTACATTAACCATGTAATACGCTACACTAAATACAAATATATATTAAACATGAGATTTTGGCATGCATGAAAACGAAAACTCTATAAGAATCATTACTGGACACTGTTGATGTGTTGCGTTCAACTGTTTATCTGCCTGTGCTTCAGAAACACAACGTATTATTAGTAAATTGTTGTATATTGATAGATATTTGTACACCTAATGCTCATTTGATTTGCAGGTGGTGCTGAGTTTGATGGGTGCTCCCGCAAGAAATATTGCTTAGAGATATAACCTTGGAATTGACTACCAGAGTTTGCAGAGAACCCCTCATTTCTGCAAAAATTAGTTATAATAAAGTCTTTGAACGTTTATTTTAACATCCCTTGACCACAACGATACATGCAGAACGTGTCGGTTAAATTATGTAAGTGGTCCTTGTACTATGTAGAAGTTGTGTATTTCATCCCGCTACCTCAGTTAGTAAGACATGGCTTTCGTTTTATGATACCTGGATGAATGAGTATGAGATGGATTAATTAAAGCTTTGCCACATCTTTCTTCGAGTCTCGTAATCTTTGTACTGTATAAAGTAATTAAAACTAATTATAAGTTAAATACAGAATTTGGTTCATATAACTATTTTTAAATTATTCGAATATTGTAATTCGGATCGTATTTTGGATTCTCGGTTTTTCTTTTTCGATTCTAATCTCCCTTCTTCCTCTCAAAAACAACTAAGCAAGTACAATTGAGTTATGATAAGAGATCGTATGAACGAAATTCGTGCATATAAGCATACTCAAACTTGTAACGAGAGAGTGCATTAAACTAGTTCACGAGGCATAACAGTGCTTAAGATAAACATAACAAGCACAATCCTCGGTCAACGTTATTGACTTCAACCTAATTTACATGCTCTTGTTGCAGAGTCTAAAATTCATGTGTCCCGATTCCCTCTAATAAGTAATTGGACTGCGTAACTGTTTGTTACAAATGATATAAGAGAGAAATCCTCAACAAATCGCTACGACCATCAAATTACTTGCACCGGAACCTTGAAGGGAGCTGACGGTGACCCCTGGTGTTATATGGCGCACTGCTACCGAATGAACTTCCAAGATTCGGATGAGAAGCTTGATGAAGGGAGATTTTAATGGTGTGACTTTGAGATGATTTGTGTATGTCTATACACTCCTCAAGGTCAGCATCGCATGTCAAAAGAACCCATTCGCTGTCATCATCCAGGTACTTGAGGTCCATTCTGCTCAAATCTTTGATACCAAATCGCTTCACAATCTCTTTTGCAATTCTTTAAAACCCCAAATCGGTTGCAATCTGAACCGTATCTTAACTTCTCCGAACGTTGCTTTAACTCTAAAGGCACCCCGGCTCGTAAATTCTGGACACTGCTTTTCGGCAAGGGTGGCAGAGTCTCGAAGGTTGGAAGTTCGTTGAATGTTCTATGGCTTTGGGATCTTGCAAGCAGCTTAGGCTCCTCTTGATTTAACAAGTGCAATTCAACATGACTCTGAGCTCTCTTCATCACTACACCAGGGTCTTCCACCATCAACCCATCTGCATTACATAAGGCATCAGTACTCTATTATGCTGTTTTGCTCCCGTGGAGAGACAGGTAGTTGAACCAGAGCTCTGGCTACATGAAGAAGGTGGAGTCTTGGAGCAGCGACTCCTTGTAGAGGTTCAGATGGCTTTAAACGGTTACTGATCTTGAATGACGAAGAAGGGCCATTGCCAGAAAGATTTGGCGAGCTAAGTTCAGGGAAGCTCGAATAGAATGATCCAATTTTAATGGCACCCTCAGCACCCTGGACTGAATCGATGACGAGTTGTAGTTTCTTCAAAGAATGGCCTACCTTCTTAATTTTCCGAGAAGGCCATCGAGTGATCCCATGTTGCCTGCATATCCTTTTCAAAGTAGTAGGACACACTGCAATAGAATGAACTCTGTTAAGCAACTTTCATCGAGACAAATTGAACGAACTACTAATGCAGGATGACAAAGCATTTGTATGTATCACCCGAAAATGAGGTATGGTAACAGAAATGTTGTAGCAAGAATGCGAAGGAACAAACCAGTCCGATAACATCATAAAGGCAATATGGCTGCCATTGTTCTACGGACACTTCGTCTTTGAACCTAACTTTTCGGTATATCGATAAAGAACTTGAGTGTTTGAACTTATATACCACCTTTATCGATATATACTAGGCTAAATCAATCTCTATCTTCAAAAAATACATTGCTGCTTCTATGCTTATACTCAAATAGTGATATTTATGAGGAAAAATTACTTCAGCTATACGATCACTTGAAAAACTATGGTTGCATTGATCATTAAGTAATAATGCGTGGCGTTTGTTTCTAATGAAATATTTTCCTACCACCAATACTCTTAGCAGCATCTTTAAGACTCCCAGCAAAGTACTGCCGAAGAACCTCCAAGCTGATTGTCTTTTCCATCTTGGTTCGTCTCTTCTCACCGGCTCTTGTACCTGCCGAAATGTAACGACCGCCAGAAGCAACGGAGTCACCGCCACCTCCCTCAACGCTAGATTTGGTTTCAGCGTTTTGATGAAGCTGCTGGAAATCCGAAAGTATCTCCTTATTGTGCAACTCTAGTTTAGTGTCTTCCCAATGGGTTGTCACCTTGAACTCTTCTTTCGGTTCTTCCTTTTGATATTCCCATGAGACGGAAACGCCTTTACCCTTCTGTTGGGCCTCCATCATGTGAGCAATCCATGATGATTCTTCCGGAGAGTTCTCTTTCAGAGAAGAAACCTTATATTGAATAATTTCTTTGTCTGATCTCCCGTCTAACACGGTGACTTCTTTAACTGGCAGTATCACTTCTTCCACAAGCTCCTTGTCCACAACTACATGCAAACTCTGGCAAGCCTGCTGCATAAAACTGGACAATGAGTTCAGCATCTGCTTTTGTGCTTCACTGTCAAGGCAATCTTTCGGTAAGAATAACTCCAAAACAAATTCAACCGATCGAGTAAAAATGCTTTGTAGCGGGATAGCTACAGCGCCGCGTAATCCGAACATCCTAGCATGGTGAGAGAGGGGATAATTTGTCTTACTGAAGACCGTTATATCAGTTGCAAAGCATTGTTTGTTCGTAGTGAATGCTCTGCCAACTACACCTTGGCCTCTGAACAGGTGGTGCTCCGAGCACGCCTCAAGGAAATCCGAAAAGTCTGTATCGGCAACGAAGCAAGCAGCGTCCACAGTGGAGACACAATGATAAAAGTTCTCGTCAGAGTGGCGGCATCCGTTTTTACCTTGACTAAGGCATGGAGCCCATGACAGAGCCAAAGGAAGTTTATATGTCTTGCAGACAGATCTTAGAACCTCGGCTAGCTCGGGCAATGCAGCTTGGTACAACTCGTTGCAAACCTGCAAATATAGAGAATGTCCTTCGGTCTCGGAAACAAATGATAAAATTCCAAACCATTGGAAACGATATAGGTTTAAGATACCATTCATTTACCTCAACATTAGGAGGAGTGAAGCTCGGAGAGCTCCTTAGATCGACAGCCTGCAAAAAGATTCGATTTATTTAGAGTCGAATATGTCTAAACAATAAGCAACCATAGAGAAATGAATAGAGTTATAAACAGATTCCTGGCCATTGGCACTTCTGAAGGTTTTTTCCTTAATTTATTTTAATTTTCTTTTCTAAAATGAAAAGTCATTCTAAAAAAGCATAAAACAAAGTTATAATCATTGAAGTGAATAGGGACGGTGCATTAAACTACAGAAGAGCTTCAGGTGATAAGCAAAGAACATGAAAAAAAGAACAGTTAGACCTCAAGAGCTTTGCAGACATGCTCAAGCTCGGGACGGTAATTGATCTTTTGAGTAGTCGTGACGAGCTCGACAACACCCAAGCAAGTTCCCGTGGCTCGTTCGAAAACAGGAAGAGCAAGAGATCCCCCAACATTGTACTCCCGAGCAAAACTAATACGAGGATATTCATCGCTTTTGAAGAAACGAACATCGGGTGTCCACTCAGGCAACTTCCCCAAAAATACACGGCCAGGCAACCCGACTGATTCCTTCGAATCCTCCTCGGCTGGGAAGTTATAGGATTTGGAGACATCTCTAAAGATTTTGAGACTCCTGCAATTCGTATTGAGAGAATATGGCTGGCCTTCGGTTGTAAGAACATGTTTGCCTTCTCTTTTATAGGCACCCAGATTTGGATAAGGACATCCCTATCTTCTGTAGATTCCTTCAAATATGCAATAGCCTGCATTAGCCTCTCTTTCACGGAAGATGACGAACCGGATTCCGTGCTCGGCCCTATCCACCATCTACTGCCTAACTCAGTGCCTTGAACTATAAAACTTCCAGGTTGTGACAATGATGAAGCATTTCCATCAGCCGTCCCGTTTGGTGATTGACTTCCAGAAATGTCCTCAATTGTCATATAACAACGGGGAGAAACCGGTGTTTCCGACTCTCCGTGATACGTTTGATGCGAGTTTACACTAAAAGGAACTGTATCACGCTCAATAAGACCATTAGAAGTCGAAGGACCAGGCTGCATATAGTTGAAACCATCATTAGTCTCCAACCAGCATCCTTCAAACAAGAGTTCATCCATAAAATCCAAATCCATGGCAGCATCCAAATACGTAGAATTCGGCGTATACCCGCCGGGACCGGCATCGCCATCGCCTTCCATGTACAAATTCGCTTCTAACGGAGCCTATATGTATATTAGATTCGAATCATAAACACTATCATGACCCGAAACACAAAAGCAGAGTAAAGATGAAAAACAAAAAGAGGAATTTCCAGGAAAAGTTCCTTCCGCCGGTATCGAAAATCCCAATCTGTCCGAGGTGCAGAAACATCGTCAGCAAAAAGTTTGTTTGGATTCATGAACTGCAATCAGAAATGCATTTCAGAAGGAAGAAACCCTCCATAGTTTTTCATCCACAGTTAATCAAACACTGAAAATACTATATCTATATATATATATATAATCCTGGATTGTATTTCCTACTTTTAAACAACTCAAAACATCAGTTGACTATAAACAATTGATCCCCACATGTCAAACATCAGCTTTCATATACAAAATAATCACGATCATCGTGCTTTGAATTTGTACTTTCAATAAGTCTAAATTTCCCCTCAAGAAAACCCCATTTTTTGCATACAAATTCCAAACCGAACTGTTAACTAAAAAAGGTGAAAAATGAAAGGAAAGGGACTCACTTCAGGAAGAATCTATGAGGAAAAAACCCAGATTGGTACTTTGGGTCTCTTTGTCTGTGTACTGAAAAAAGACCTTGAGTGAAGCAGAATCAAAATCTAGAACAATCATGTGTCCCTGTTGGTTCAATGACACTTCCTTTTGTTTTCCTTCTTACAAAAGGCGAAAACAGCGCAAGTTGCAACGAAGTAATCAGTTTTTTCTGGTCTCTTTGGGCGGTCGTTCTTATAAACAACACTCTCAAGCCATGCGCGTGTAGGATCTTCTCTATGTACAAAACTTGAAGACCCCACGTTAAATTTATCATTTTTATAACACGATATATAAAGAGCAAGTGTTGCAAAGGTAGCAGAGCAGAAGACAAAACAAAGATGGAAAAGAAAAACATAAAAAAATCTGGTTCTTTGTTGTTGTTTCTTCGTGCATCAGTGTGATTAGGCTGAATTTAACATTTTAAATTATTTCCTTTTTTTTTAATTTTGGGGTTATGTTGGTTGTTCTTTAGCCTGCTGAGATTCCATGTGATTCATATATATTTAATAGTGTTTTTGTACTGTTTTTCTGTTTAATCCAAAAGGTTATGGTTTTGATTTTTTGTTAAAAACTAGGTTACGTGAAATAGATTCTGGACCCAAACCTGTTTTTGTTGAAGTTCATTCATTCATTTGACTCATCATTCTCGGACAGCTACGTGTGTAATTAAATTTGGTGTTTGAATATTCTTATTGTATTTATATACGTCATAAATGAATTTAAGTTGCGTTATGTTTCCTTATATTATAGCTATAAAAATAAGGTTTAATACATTTTTAGGTACTTAAGCTATATCTTAAATTGATTTTTGGTTCTTAAAGAATTTTTCGTTAAAATAAGGTGTCGAATGTTTTTAATATTATACTTTTAGGTATTTAGACTATAACGACATGTTAAATTTGATCGTTACTTGACACATGTTACGCTTATAAAATTTTAAAAAATAAAAAGATTTAATATTATAATTTTAAAAAAAATATATTAAAATTCTACTATCGATCGCCCATCGTCGGTCCCTGGCCATCACTGTTGACACCATCAGAATCATCTCGCTGCCTCAACCGAAATCCAGTCCCTCGTCCACTGTAAAACTATGTCGATCATCGTGAAAAGCGTCACGAATGATCGTTGATTTTCTACATTTTCCTTCGTTGTTTTTCGACGATTTCGATGGTTACAGCCAGTCATGCGTTACATTGCCGCCACCATTAAATTCTTTGCCCTACTATGAACAATACTTTGTCAGTGGTGACCCTTCGTCATCAGAAGAGATGGGGATGAGAGGGAAAAGAACAACACATGGGTTTGATTTTTTTAAAATAAATAATATTTTTATTATTAAAAAATAAAAAAATAACAGTAGACACCTATAATTGTAATAGATAAAAAAAATTAATATATTTAATTTTTTAAGGTTTTATTTTGTCTATTTTCAGATTTTAAAATCTAATTCTAGTTATTATAATTATCTCTTTGTTAAATTTAAGCAATTATTGTATTACATTTTTATTTTTTTAATTAATCTAAAAAAATTATAATAATATTAATAATTAAATTTGAATTTTTAAATCTCAAAAATGGAAAAAAAAATCTTTTTAAGAAAATTGGAAGATTAAATTTTGAACGCAGGAAGAGCTCAAAGGCTTGAAGCATATTTTAATTTTTGTTTATTATTAGTTTTTTTAACATACTTTTTTATTAATAATTTATTCTAATTCTTATCTATGTTATGGTAAATTATTTCAAAATTAATACAATAATTAAAATTTTCTTCTATTACTATTTATGTAATCAAATAAAATTAAAATAACTAAATATCAGCTTTTCAAATTTTAAATTATATTCTCTCAAAATAAAAAAAATTATACTTATAAAAAATTCTCACTAAGTTGGTTGTGTCACGGGCTAATAAAAATTGATTTAATTAAAAATATATTTTAGAAAACCAACAATTAACATTATTATAAAAATTTATTTATTTTTCATAATTTTATATATTTAAATAAATCGATGTTTACATAATCTATACATAAAATCTCTATCACTCCACTAATAACCACATGTTAAATAATTTACATAAAATACACATAATTTATTTTTAGAGATTTTTCAAGGATACAAGTATAATCATTTTTTTAATTTGAACACCGAATATTCACACGAACCTACCTCAGTGGTTAAGGGAATCGTCAGGTGCGGATGCACTAACCCCCTAGGGGTCAAGTGCATCCTAATTATTTAGGAAAAAAATTGAAATTTACTATAATATGTTAAAGAAAAATAAAAAAATTAAAAAATTTTGCACCCCATTATTTTTAAAAAAAGAAAATTAAAATTTTTGACCCATATTTATAAATTTTTGTATCCGCCACTAAAAATAGTTATTTTTCCTAGAGATTAAAGATTCGAACACTAACAATTATAGAATGATAATTAAACGTTTTTTTATCAAATAATTAAAAATATTTAAAATATATACTATCTTCCAATCCCCTTTTAACTTCCTTAACAAAGCACACACAGAATATTCCAAAGGGATTAGGTGCGGAGGGAATGCAGAAAATGTGGCTCTCAAGATCTCGGGAAGCCGTAGCCACGACCTCTCGAGTCGCCGCATACACTCTCCATTAACCACAGATTAATATAATTTCATTCTTTAATAATAATTAACTAATTTCTAATTAAGAGCTGCAATTAAGAATAGAAGATGATGACGACGATCAATTTAGCAGAAAACAAGGGTCCCTCAACACACGGGCAGCCAATCAATTGTTTGCTTTACAGGAAACACAATCAGTTTTCAGCTTCAAAGTATATCATTTCAACACAGCTCCTTGTTAAAACTAAGAAAATTTATACGTACTCTACGAACAACGCTGAATACTATTAACGATGAATATCATTAATTTAATTTATAAAAAATTAAAATATTAAAGGTCTCGATGTATAATTATAAGTTAATTCAATTTTTAAAGGTAAATTATTTAAAATAAAATATCAATTACATTATTTTCTATAATTTTTTAACAATAAAAAGATTATGGAAAATAATATTTTATTTAAAATAATTTAACTTTAAATTCTTAACTAATTTATAACACTACGGTCAATCATTTAGAATTTTAAATTTTATAAATTAAACTAATGACGCTCAATGGTGTTCATCGTCAGTGGCAGACCCGTCCTTAAAATTATTTATTCATGCTTCCTTCCTCAACCATTTTAATCACTTCTGTTTATTATAATAATTTGATCCGAATCCGGCATGATTCAATTTTATAAGGTAGTTTTTTTTTTAAATAAAAAGATGTAGCTTTTAAAAAATATTTTTTTTTATTTAAGTCCAGTCAAGTTTAATTGAATACGAGTTTCGGCCTAAATTCAAGTCGGATAGAATCTCCTTGACCCGACCCAAGTCATTACCATCTCTACTTCTCCCACTAATTCAGTTTTAATACGTTTTAGAAAAAGGAAAATTATGGAAATTTTTTATCCAAATATTTATTGAAAAATTATAATTCCTACTTAAAAGAAATGTTGGGCTGTGAAATTTACAGGGACGAACTGGATTGTTCCGGATAGTACAAGGGATCCATGATGACAATTTCTTAATCATCTAACAATGCCTAATTTGTTATTTGCTACTTGGATCAATGAAAGATACCTGCAACATATTATTAGATTCAAAATTTATTAACAAATCTGGAATCATTGACTTCCACTCGACACATTTCATCATGTCTCGCAAGGCAGGTGGATCAGTGACGAAATCTCCATTATTAATTATAAAAGGATTGATAAAGACTGGTTAAAAAAAACCCAGAAATCATATGGGTATTTGGTAGAGATTTTATTGAGAAAAATGATGTTCCTGTTACTGCTTTGATTACTAGCTTGTGTTTGAAGAAACAAATTTGTTCTTCCTGGAGGTTGCAGGTTATCAATTCTGTGCATTGAGTTCTTATAAATTTCTGAGCACAGGCAAAATACTATGGTTATTTTTGCAGAAACCAAGGAATATATATATATATATACAGAATAATTCTAATCCTAGGTTACAAGTCACACACAACTTTACCATACATGTTTAAAAGTATTAGTTAGGACACCACCAATTAAATTCGGATTTCAGATAGAAAGGTGCCTGTCCTAAGTACACTGTGAGTCCGCCACTGTTAGAGACTTAACCTTAAATCCAAAGCTAAGCTGAGTGATTTTCAAGAGGAGCGGGCAAATTCAGGTCCAATCCACAATCTTCCTTTGGTGCCAAAAGGTTGAGCCCTTGGTTCAGCAATGTCTCGTCGTCCCCTTTCTCCCAATGGCACCTCTTATTCCCACCCAAGGCTTGACCACTAGAGAACACCCTCAAGCAGATGCTGCATTTGTGACCCCAAACAATCATCAACTTACTATCACCTTCCGCTTCTTCTTTTGCCGTGCCGTCGTCGTCATCGTAACTGTCGCTTCTTGTTATCGCGAAACAGCCCTTGATGTTCTTGTGGCTATCCCTGTGCCCTCCAAGTGCTTGACGTGACCCGAGAACCCTCTTGCAACTCGAGCATTCGAACCGGAAGTTTGAACCCATATGTTCAGAAAAAGTCTCGGTTTCTTGAGCCTTGGGCTTATAACTTGTACCACATTTGCTCTCACCGGCGGGGGAACCATTAGCCAGCATCAATAAGGCTGCTGCTACTTCATGATCGTCCTCCATCATCAAGGCCTCCGTACTATTTATCGGTTTGACAAGCCGGCAATAATTCGGAGGGGGGTTAATTCCGCGCCACTGCCGCTCAGGGTGACATCTCATGTGTCCGAAGAGTGCTTTCCATGACCAAAACTTCTTCCCACATTCGCTACAAGGAGGTGTAATCTTTGGTGCAGAAGGGTCAGGTTTTTTGGTATATTTCGGCCTGGAAACAATGCTAGAACAAGTCGGGAATCCACCAACACCAATCTTTATCAATTTGGAGCGTTTCTTCCGGGCTTCGGATCGTAATTCCCAGCGTTGCTTGACGAAGAAGGCAAGCCCGGGATGCTATGTTGAGTAACAGAAGAAAGGAATCGAACTCCGGGATCAGATGATTCGGTGTTTTCATTCATTTTCAGAAGACATCAAAGAG